TAGGACAAAGCGCTTAATATGTTAAATTTACAAAATTCACCCCATTTCTTAGTTTCCCTTTCAAATACAGTAAAATCGGGGTGAAGAGTTGATATGCCGGGTATAGGACAAAGCGCTTAATATGTTAAATTTACAAAATTCACCCCATTTTTTAGTTTCCCTTTGAAATACAGTAAAATCGGGGTGAAGAGCTAATATGCCGGGTATAGGATATAGCGCCTATTATGTTAAATTTACAAAATTCACCCCATTTTTCAGTCCCTTGAGGAAACTTGGTTTGAGAAATCGAGAAGTTCGAGAAATTGGCCATTTCAAAGACGAGCGGGTACGAACATATTTTTTCTTGGTACCAACCTTCAGTATCGATTTGATTGAAAACGAGGCATGTCATCGGGAAGAGCATCCAAAAATTAGTAAATTTACCAAATTTGATGGTTATTGGTTTAAACACAAAGGCATGGTACACTTTTAAAATAAGAGGGCTTAGTATGGATTGGAGGACGCCTGTCCCTCCAATCCATACTAAGTGTACCATGCCTTTGGGTGTAAACCAATAACCGTCAAATTTGGTGAATTTACTAATTTTTGGATGGTCTTTCAGATGACGTGCCCCATTTTTCAATTCAATCGATATTGAATGTTTGTACCGAAGAGAAAAATATGCTCGTGCCCAGTCCTCTGCTCGTTTTGAAATGGCCAATTGAGGGTAAAATTGCAGTCTTTAAGTAAGGAAAGTAAGTAAGTAAGGCCATTCCAGGCGACAGAACTTTTAATGCATTTCTTTATAAATAGCAGCGAACCGTTGACATTAGAAAACGCGAAGTTGTCTCGGGGGGCAGGGTGACCCTGGGTGGAGGGTCACTCGCGTTGAAGGAAGCGTAACCCTGGGGGCGAGCCAACTCTTTTTTCCTTTAAACTCTTTGTCTCGCCTTCCCGAGACAACTTCTCGCGTGCCGAGTTTAACATAATTGCTAGAATATAGGTTTTCAAGGGCAAATTTATATTGTTAACATAAAATTTAACTCAGCAAAGGTAACAGTAGCGGAGTAAACGAAAGGAACTTAAAGGAAGGAGAAATGAGGATTTGAATATTTAAACGAGCTCTAAGTAATTATGCAAGATCGACTTTGACTCGGTCAGTAAGAACAACTCTTCATATAAACGCTCTGTAAAGATGGTTTGGTATGGAGGGTAACCCTCCTACCAGGGACAACTCTCCTTCATATAAACAGGGCCTAACGCTGCTTGCAGTGTCTTATTCACAAATATTAGCTAAAAAATTCTCACTCTTTGACTCGTTATCCGAAAAACGTTGTTAATATTTGTCACACGATTGATTACAGTCATTTTTGCTGCACATTGGACTTCAAAGAAAGACATTATATCCCCAGACGAGTGCATTGTTAAGCTAAGCAAGCAGGAATTAAGTCAGCTTGGGAACATGATAAAAATGCATGGAGTGTTCTTAAAAATTCCCAAGTACTTATACAACACAACAATACAGGAGGACAAGTTTTTATTTCTTTTACATAATTTTAAAGAAATTGTGCGCGCTACAACTTGTGACCAATCATAGAGTACGCAATTTGTCGATGATTTACGTTGGTACTAAATTATAGTTGCACTGCGTTGTTAGGTATTACTTTCTCAAGCATCATATTTCCCACGATTTCAAGTCGAATTCTGTAAATGTTATCAGTGAACCAAGACAAAAACAGTACATAGGAACATTTGTTTAATGCTCCAGAAATGAGAATGTTGTCTAGCCTTAGATCATATACAGACTTGTCAAAACTACGGTACTTATTACAAATAGTCAGTAATCCTTGTCCGAATACTTAATATAAATAGTCACACTTCAACATCACTATCATTGTCATCATCTTCATCACTTTCAAACTCTTCGCCTGCATTCCAGAAATCGAGTACATTGACTTCCTGGACATTGTCAACCATGTAATTACTAACTTCTGGAGAAGGTGTGATAAACTTTTTAAACATATTACAAGCACCAAAAAGTCGCACACGCTCATCGTACAGTTGCTTTGTATGGATGGAATAAAGACCTTTGAGATTGTTAGAATCTTTAAATTCATGGTGACTTGCCAACGAAGAGAGTCGACCTTCAATTTCAAGACATTGGTTGAAATATGCAGTGATAGTGTTAGACATTTCAGCGTCTTGATATTTCATCTCCTTCCAACATCGCGAAATCAAGTTCTGCGCATCAACTGCTGACCTTTTAATGCACACAGGAACACCGTCTTCGTTTGGGATGTTGATGGAGTAGATGGCACTGCTGACGTCACTAACATCTTCCCATGAAAGAGGGGAAAATGAAGAGTAATCATGTTGCCGGAGGATGTCTACAGAAGAGTTAAATACTTTTAACTGCTTGCGCAGATTGGTATTCTCTTTGGTGACGCCCTTACACAAACGTTTCGCCTGGGCTTGGCCATCTATAACAGAAACAGTTATATAAAAAGTTAAGTTATTAATTGATATGTGGGTTGAGTCCGTTCTTGGTTGTCGTCTTTGCTCTAAGGGGTCGCCAGTTTTTCCTGACCCTCAGCTGACACTAACCCTCCATATTCCAATTCAATCTCATGCACGTAAACTTAAAAACGAGCTTTCTTGCTACATGGGTAAACAAAGTCAATTAACATTTTTAAGTTTTTCAAAGAAAAGTACACGTCAAGAGCGCGTAGTTCGATCTTTTTTATACCTGTGTATTTTTTTTTAGGGAAAGAAGAAACCATCTTCTTCTACCGGAAACCAGAATTAGATCCAGGGTCTGTTTTGCTCTTACAGCCTCACAAGTCACCAAACTGGACCTGTATTGTGGATCTGACGGAGACCAACGAGTTTGAATTTTGAACTGTTTTTCCATCTTCAGAAGACGTTCATGCAGACTGACGAGAGAACAACAAAATACACAACTTATTAAATACAGATGCATAGTATATTTTAGAAAATAGACTAGCATACAAATCCAGTTATTTAAAACAGTCAACAACATCAACGGATAAATTATGAAAAAGTGTATACCACGCGACCTTGCGACGAGGAGGAGGTAGCTTTTATAACCACAGGGTTCATAAAGGAGCTCAAGTTGCGAAAGGACGGAAGGAATTGCCAGCAAAATCCTTAAAATACATAAGGTATAGAAGGAAGCATATATAATGGATTGGATTGCAATGAGATGACTGTAACCCACAAACCATTGAATTGTACTGAGATGATCCACAAATTATTGGATTGTAATAAAATGATTGTAATCCACAAATTATTGAATTGTAATGAGATGATTGTAATCCAAAAATTATTTACGTAATAACCATGTGCACCATGCGCAATGGCTTTACTGTAAAATTCAGACTGAGGGATGAAATGTTTGCTTTATCGACTGAGCCTCTGGGTACGGTCCATAAAGCAAAAATTCAGCCCGAAGTCTGTTAAGTTATTTATTATATGCCTTCACATAGGCAAAGCAAGCGGAATAGAGAGAACATCTACATTGCCTATCATTTACGTCACAATTTCATCAGGGTAATAAACTTATGAAGAAAATCTTCTTCAGAACTCATATTTAAAGAAGAGATACATGTTTTGTTCAATGTTCAATTTTGTCTTTTTTCAACGAAGTTTCTTTCAGGGAAAGTCACTAAGTTCACTAGGTTTTGTGGGGGGAAAAATCTGTAATGCCCATAAGCAATTACTGGGGGATTCTGGACCCCCTAATTAACCAATCAGAGTGCACGTACTATCGCAGCCATATAATAATGGATTGTAATGAGATGATTGTAACCCACAAATTATTGCATTGTAAGGAAATAATTGTAATCCACAAATTTTTGGATTGTTATGAGATAATAGCATTCACAAATGATTGAATTTAAATTAGATAATTGTAATCCACAAATTATTGGATGGTGATGAGATGATTGTAACCCATAAATTATTGGATTGTAATGCAAATATTGTAATCCACAAATAATTGGATTGTAATGAGATGAATGTAATCCACATTTTGGTTTTGTCCTCGGGTACCGGTACACAAGAGCCGATACAAAAGACCAAAAATACATAACAGCTAACCAATGACTCCTAAACAAAGAAAATACAATGGTTATTCCTTTACGCACCGGTACAGCACCGGTGCACGAGGACAACTAGACAGTTCATCAGTTATCTGGAATGCGATGGATCGTTGTGGGACTATATATTAATACACATAAACATGCTAAATGTGACTTTATTTGTAGATTGGAATTTTTATTTTCAGTTCTCGAAATGACAATAATCTTAAATATAAAATAACTGTCATGATATTCATTGTAACTGATGGCGAGATGACTGTTAAGCCGCACATGCATGAATCACTATTGTGAATACTGGTACTTGTAGCTCGCAAATAAATGGCTCTCATTAATTTAAATGAGATGCACGATTACTGGTTTATAAAATATTGTGATGGTTTGCTTACCTATCGACCCGTGAATTTTTGAGAGGTAAATAAAGGCTTAGAAATATTTATAACTTATCGATCATATCCGATCATCAAATCATCAGACAAGTGCCTCGAACATTAAACAAAGTAGAATACCTTTTATTATTAGTGATACTCACCTTGAAAATGATCGATAAACCAAATTTACGACCAGAAAGGTGTCGGCTAATTGCACAGATAAAGCGTGTGAGCTTGCAAATAAAGGAAAAATATATCTCTTCTGAATCGATCGATCCGAATTAGCGCGCCAGTGATACGTAGATTACACACGACATTTTAGCTACTCATTCACCCCTCCCCCAGGTCTAGATTTGTCAATAGGTCTATCCCGATTACAATGCATTAATTGACTGGTTACAACGTCATTACAAGTCCAGTAGTTACTGGGTTACAACGTGAGGAACGGGTGAAGAATCTGGGAAATGAGACTAAATTCCCTAACTGAAGGGAACCTGACGTTAAATTTTCCTTCCTACCCAAGATGAAAACAATGTCAAGTCAAGAAAAGCCCTTTTACGAGAGTATAGAGGTGAAAGAGAAGCAAGGGGATACCACAAACACACAGTTTGCGTTCCCTAAACAATGTTTGGTTTTAGGCGATCCTCGCGTCGGAAAGACGAGCCTTATCAATGCATTAACTGGAAAGCCATTTGATTTGGCCGTACAAAAAACGCAAGGAATTGATCAGAGTCTTGTCGATCACGAGTGGAAAAACTGCGACATGAAAGATCTCGTATTTGGAGACTTGTGGAGATATCTCAAAACAGGCGACGTTGAAGTGACTTTGATAGGAACTGGAGGACGAAACAATAAGGTTCTTGTTGGAGATCTAGAATTTCTGATGACAACTGGTCTTCTGCGGCTTTTTTTGTACTCCTTGGTTATTGGGGTGACATGCATGTTTCTCGTAAGGACATTATTTAGGTATCCTGCGGCATATCTCTTATTTTACTTCATTTACTTTGGTCATTTGATGTTTCCGATTTGTGCTATTCACTTTGAGACTTCAAGTAATATCAGATTTATACTTACTACTTTAGCTTTCATCCTGAACCGCCGAGGACTATTAATCGGGTTATATTCAGCTATAATGATATGTCCTTTTTACAATAGTTTTCTCACATTTGCTAGTACTGGCGAGTTTCTCACGTTAAGCTCCGTTACAGGAATTGCCTTCATCATTATGTTCCTTTTCATAGGACCATTACGACCACCCTTTGGTACAGCTCAACTGATCGGGAATCGAAACTTTATGAAGTTTCTCTGCTTTTGCCGGTTACCGCTATCATTCTTAATTGGATTAATTTCTGGCTTTACCGTTGCAATGTCGTTCGGGAGCTGGTACGATATGTGTCATAAGGAGGCTGGCCTATCCGTTAAACTATCAGAACTGTCAAAAACTGTATACACATCTGATACGACAGGTCGGAAAGCACTCAATTATCTCCGGACCTGCCTTGAAAGTCCTGACCAAGTCGTAATTACTTTTCTAGCAACTTTTATATCCGAATTTCCAGCTCACATTTTTGACCTAACACAATTCAGAACTTTTAGTCTCTTTAAGACCACAAATGAGCTAGGATCAAAGGGGCTCTCTCTTGTTTTCTTTTTCTATTATTTTAAAATAGCATTTCAAGTATGGAATGACCCACCTTTGACTATTTATTACTTTTGCATATCATTTACTTTATACATCTTTTTAACTTTATATCAGGAATGGTCTTGTAGCCATTCCGAAAGCAATGAAAGAGTAATTTTTTACCCTTCCAACAGTTTCTTGACACTAGCACTGACTGGCAGTGGAGAAGTGAACACCAAAAAGCTAAGAACTGCCCTCAAGGATAAATATCCCTCTTTGAAACTGAAGGTCCTTGATTTTGCGGGTGATAAAGAATATTATGCCTATCATCACATGTTTCTCAAGAGTCTTGCTGTCTATCTCATTGTATTCAACATGGCTGACTTCACAGAAGATGACAAAAAGGATTTATGCAATGAAAAGCTTCAGTTTTGGATTGAGTCTGTCTGTACCCATGTGCCACCAAAAACACCAATTTTCCTTGTTGGAACACACAGCAATCACATGGATCAGAATGGCATGCAGACCTTGAGTGGCCATTTAAACCAAATTCTTTGGACATCCTATTGTGATGAGCTGGTTGTCAATGAAGATGAAGATTTGATCTTCTTTCCTGTTGAGAACTCTAAAGGGGAGAATGATGTTGGAGTTCAAAAGCTTCGAATCAAAATCATGGCAGTTGCAGAGGGATGTAAGCCAACTACAGATTACAACATTCCTTTGTCGTGGATTAGGATACAAGATGCAATCATCCAGTTAAGGGAAAAGAAGGCTGCCAGGTTCTGTGTGACACTAAGAGAGTTTCCATGTGCATTTGGTAACTACATTCACACTGACTGGTCTGAAGAAACCTTGAAGTACTTCCATGAGCAAGGCCTGATAATATACATTCCCACAGGCGAAGAACTGTGCAACTGGGTTCTACTCAGACCAGAAATTCTGGTGGACATCATCACCCAGTTGGTCACGTCATCCCCTCAAGTGACTCAGATGAGAGGCTTGAGAAGTGACTGGAGACTTCTTCAGAAAAAGGGAATGCTGACAAAATCACTCCTGGTCAGCATCATTTCCAGCGTAAAGGAAAATGAAGAGGCCATGATTGCATTTCTTGAAGAGTATGATTTGATCTGCCCTTTGACCAACACAAAAGTCAAAATTGCTAGCTTGCGTGACACAGAGAAACTCCAGCCAACTCACTTTGTTCCATCCCTAGTGCCTAGGTCTAAAGATGGATGCATCCCAACATGGCATGATGACCAGAGAGATAAAAAGTTCTTGGTGTTTTTCGAGAGGTTTCTACCAGAACCTTTGTTCCATCGCTTGCTATCTCGTGCCCACAAGAACAGTAAGGTAGAGTTTACCAATGGTGCAACTGTTGTTTTCAGAGATGTTGGAAAGTTCTGGATGAGTCCTTGGCAGCCATACAGACTTAAGCTGATGAAGAAAGAGGGTGTTATTGAAGTTACATTCAGCACCAGGTAGTTGTGCACCCTTTCCTCAACAACTTATGGGTCTTAGACTTTTCATAATGTTTGGTGGCTATCAGAAATAATACTGTGGGTTATTTGCGAGAATGTACATAGTTTTTCTCAGAGATCGTGTGTGTTTCTGAATTTCTCTAACAAGAATCTTCTCTATACTTAATGACTTGTAGCCTTGAAAATAGTCATTATGCTAGTGACTTTGTTAAAAGTGAAATTTCTTGTGGCCAGGCTGGCAGTGTGCCAGTTTGCAACAAAGTTTTTTTATTCTGAATATTTTCTCCACATATGCACAACAACACATTCCGTTATTTTCCAGCAATAGACGAGGAGTGAAGCCTTCAGATTTCTTGTGTCAAGTGTACTCCATGGTAGATGGAATTTGCAAGAGGAGTTTCCCCTTTGTAAAGTTTCACTGTGGACCTGCCTGTCCCTCAACCAAATGCCCTGGTTACCAAGACAGTTACATGTACACACCAGATCATCATTACCGACGACATGTGTTCAATATCATGCCTGGTCGTCAAGTAGATAAGACTGCCTTTTTGTACTGTGTCAACAAAAGTTTTGAAGATGAGCTGAAGGACTGGATACCATAGTTGAATGAGCTACCTTAATTTGAAAAGGTAAATATAGCCAAACTGTATACCACTACTGAAAACGTTTTCTAAACCATGCTACTAACCAGGAAACCAAGACAACAGAAATGTGATCCACTTTCCTTTCCACTGGGTCAATTAAGATATCACTGACATTAACTCAAACAAAAAATAATAAATATGTCTAAATCTAAATCTGAAGAATAAAACTAACATCTTATCTCTCATGTGCAGCCACATTACATTAAGATTGCAACACAACAGACTCTTAAGTGTTCAATTTTTTCCAAAGAGTTTAACCTAACTAAGAACAACTCCTTAACTGTGGGTTACCACACAGAACCAGGAAACAGTACAGCTTTAAAACCAAGATTGTCAGAGTTAATATGACTTTACCCAGACAATTTGTGCCTACTCATCCAGCAAATATTACATATTAACTCAATAAGTTTTGTCTTTATCAGTTTCTGGGCAGAATGAAGATTTCCTGAAGCAGACAGAATTGGTTGGCTGTTGTGAAGAGCCAGAACTGTATGCTAAAATGGTATTTTCAGTTAAGGAGATGATTTACAATTATTGTTACAAGTCAACATAATATGGGATTCACACATCTCATGACATAAATTTATGTATATAAAGTTTGTAATATGCAGTCAGGTATAAACTAAGTTCAGTTTTTTCAAAATTTTAACAGAAAGAACTTTGATGAGGAGAAATCCACAGTATCAAAAACTTAAACTTATGATATGGATTGATGATAAACAAGTAAAATAAAAATGAATCATAGCAATAAATTCACCTGTTACACATGTGCATTCATTTTCTTGAACTTAAAATAATTAATATGAAGTTTTATAATCCCAAAGAAAAGACTTGAAGCTTTGGCAAGCCATTGCTGTTGTAAGTTCTGTTCCTCTTTTTCTATTTCTGTCATTTGAAGAAGACTGTAATTTCTAAATTTTTTAGGATGTGTTTGATGGTAAGGAAAAACATAAATGTTATTTAGAGTAACTATATGATTATCTTTAATTTCTCTGTCTCATGTCAATGATTTTTCCAGGTGTGGGGTGTAGTTATCTAAGTATAGATGGTGATACACTGGCTTTGTATTTTTCTAAAAACTTTACTTGCTGTGAAGATGTAATGGTTAAAAGTTAGAGAAACTTTCTCTTTTGGTTGTAGTTACCCTTACTGCTGATTCCTAAAAGATCTAGAAATCAGTACACTTACCTTAGAAATGGCCTTCCAGGAAACCTGGAGACCAAAATGAAAAGAGTTATTGATTCAGTTGATTGCTGAAATTCACAAAAGTAAGGTTATGTATAATCAACTTGGTTCTCACAGAACCAGTCTTAAGCCTAGGCACAAACTTAGCTGATAGATTAGACCTTACATATTTCAATATACTTACACTGATAAAGTGTTAGCCTGCAGAGCAGATGTAATTTGGTGAGCAATGTGCTCCATATTTTCTTAGCAAAAATTATGGCTGCCATCTTTTATTTTAATGGTAACAGAAGGCAGGGGAGAGAAAAAAAATTTGTGCTGAGGGGACAGTCTAACCCTTCCCCTGTCCCCAACCCCACCGTCCACTCTAACTCCAAATCAAACATGATTGGCCAGATAAACAGTCATGAGCTGAAAATGTTAGCTCAACCTTAAATGAGATGCCTGCAGCCTCATACAATGTAGAACTATATTATCAAATAATACAACAGTTGTTTATGATGATGTACAGTATGATCTTTATGATGTTCTTAAGATTCATCAGGAAGTGTTTCTTTTATGGCAGATGATTGAATCACATACTTTTGCATCTCATAAATCAGCCTTAGTTTGTGAAAATTTTAAAAGCATTTTGTGCTTTAGCTCCCACTGAGGATCCCCAAAATGAAATGCCCTGTGTTATGACTTTGGACATTAATAAATTAAGTTATACCACCTTATTAAGTTAGCAGACAGAATATACAGTAATGAATTTTCTTAATGGAGATGGGAAATTTACATAACTGCTGTGGTTTAATCTCTGACTTGTGGTTTAAATCTTATTTCACTGTCTTAAACCCATTACATTACATCAGTTACTCTATACAGAACCAAAGAAATAATAACGAAACCAAGATATAACCAAACAAATCCAGCAAAAGAATTACCAAGATGTGTCTTTGGCAGCACTTAGACCCACCCTCTTTGAGCTTAACTGTTACACAACAAATTTGTTATCTGTCTCGTTAGAAGCATCGATCAGTAACTAAGAGGCAATTTCTTTTTGTTCAAATGCTCACATAAAATTCTATGGTCTTTCAAAGGAAGGCCATTGCTGCTTCCTTACCCTTTTGATGAAATAGTTAGACTAGCAAGGCACACCTTTCAAATGAGATCCACGCAATGCAATGGGAAATTTTCAAAGATTTTCAAGTTATTACCCTTTAACCCTCGAGTGTCTACCATCTCACTTCTCATTATAAGATCACCCCTGAATAAAGCATTATGATCAAGATAATGGAAATGATCTCCAACTTAAGAGGCTCTTGATAGATAAATGTATGGAGAATATACATACTGATGCTAGGGTGTAAAGGGTTAAGTGAACAGTTGAATAAAAACATTGAGATCTTTTGTTATGGAATTAACATGGGTATAATTGGGGCTTGTTAATTGGTGAGTCGATGTACAATTTACAGATTGTCACAAAATGTGTAAAAATGAGCCACACCTATAATAGATGATTTAATTCTTATTGAACCTTAAATATGGGATACATAATGTATGAATCACATAATGCAGCAATCAATTTCTAAGCTTCAACTTCACCTCCCCCCATGGGCATTTGACTCCTGTCCATGCTTCAGGGGGGAATTTTAATTTTACCTTGGTGGGGTGGGGTGGGGAATTTGAACCAGAACTGTCAAGTCTTTCCAGCCAAATAAACATGTTTTATCTTTAGTAATAGAGGTGTTTAAAGGTAAAAACTTCACTTAAGAAAGCAGATGACCTATAAGAAAAAAGTTCCACAAGAAAGTCACCAGCTGTCACTAGTTGTGCCTTCTACAAATTAAATCCCCCACTTTGGTGAGGCAGGGGACAGGAATTTGAATGAACTAATATTCAAAATTTTAAATGCCTTGGGGGGGAAGGGGATGCAAAAGTTTTGAGTTGATACACACATTACTTTTACTTCTTAACCTAATGGAAGGGCCACACAAGGAAATATTTTGCTCCATTTCATGGCATGCCAATTAACTGAACAAAGTGAGGTAAATATGTCATGAACAGCAAGAGCCAAACATTTTCACATCTAGCCTGACCGAGACTCAGTCACGAAGTACTTAATTATATGACTGCCACTCTTCCTTTTTCTTCCTTTTCTGGAACGGTATGCGGTATGCATCTCTCTCCAACCCTTGTGCCATTTCTTATGGTCCTCATACAATGATTTTTTTAATACTGTTTTTCACTAAAAATGTTCAAGGGGCGACACAGGCCATATCATATTTTGGCCAGACACTAGCAAAAGATTACTATTTAAGCTCTACTTCACAAATACAATCCATATTTCCGTGTGTCTGTTCGGTTGTCGATCAAAGGTGACTTCAAATTACGGTAGGAAAAAAAAAGTAGTACACGGGGTGCAGCTAAGTGCGACACAGTTATTCTTGCCACGTGTCTGTGTCTCCTTGAACTTTTTCCTTTGTTTATGGTGTGCATTAGTCGCCTTGGTCCAATGATTGAATTAGGAACCCCACATATAGAAACATTTGAAATATTTGCGTGTCCCACAGTATATCTTACAAACTTAATCTAAGACTCACTCGAATTAATTTCTTTATCACTTATATTCACTCTAATCTCTTGACCTCCGGGTCACTGTAATAAATATCTACAAGAATTACACTCACTATTACTTCCGTGAATGTGTCCGATTGTCCGGAGAACGTGACAATCACACAGCTGACACTGATATGCTCGTGATACATTGAAAACCATTTGATTTCGCGACTCATGGTAATTTATTAGGTGGCAAGACAGCATTGAAAGAATCAGACCAAAATATTAGACAATTTAAAAACTCCCAAAAGTGACTGATTCATGTAACTTCTCCCTATAATATCCAAACACTATCCAGCAAACAGATAATGATAATACTGAAACTTATCAGGCAGAAGTTATTTTGATCGGACACCAAATTCTCATAACTTATTTACAAGTAAATGTGTAGCAACTAGAAGGGAGAATTAAAAATCAGATCTTGGGTATTTAAGGATTAAAGGAAGAGAGCAGAAATGCTTCCTCTGAGCTACTGATCTCAGCAATGCTAGTCCTTCACACACATTTAAGTTTCTGTCAGTGATAAACATTTAGTGAATTGATATTCCTATTCTTAGCACTCAGAGGCCTTCTGACACAAAGGATTGCTATACTAGTTCTTATTGCATTGTGTTAACCAATGTTACGATAATATAATTTTGAGATACTTAAAAGATTGAGAAATATATCCAAATCAATATATTTATTTTATACTGTTACAGTTATCATAAGATTTGTTTGAAAGAGAATCTTTCAGACCATCGAATTGTATGAGAAATTATTTTTTGCGAGACTTCTATCAAACTTCTTATTATGAGGACAATTTTGTGAATAATAAAATTTAGTGTCAGTTCATCTTTGTGTTGAGAACTCTTTTAGTTGGTCAGTGAAACTCACTTTTTCTTTTTTCCAATTTGAAGCATCAAATTGATTCATACATAAAGCACACAAAATATTTTTTGAGAGTTCCATGTGGCATCCATAGTGGATTACTATGCTATCATGAAAAACAAAAACAACCACTGAAAACTGCTTTTGTCACAATTGCTACCAAATTTGTGTCATTGTGGTCTGCCATAATAAGTGAAAACTCTGAAGATAAAGTGTCTTGGTTATTTGATTAAAAGCAATTACTTTCCTAGAGTTTCTCTGCTACGAGTGTTTTGGGCAAGCCATGTAGTAAACAGGTGAGCAGTACTGAACTTACTTACTTACTGCCGCAATGAAAAAAAACTATCGAACTTGAAACAATTCAGGTACCTAATTGAAAATTTGTACTAATTTTGCAACAATAGTTACCCTCATCCATAATCACAGAGAATAAAATAAGTATAGAACGATAAATACTTAGCAAAAATACATGCCTCCGTGCATAAACTTAAAGAAGTGAAAGCTCGTAGGCAAATCATTGGGGCCATAAAATGTATTTGAACAACCAAAAGCGGCACAC